AGTAAAAAAGGGGAATATATACAGTTTCTTTTTGTTAGAGGTCCAAATAATGGCTTCAGACTAAAAAAAAAAGTAATTTTCTCTGTTTTTTTCTTGGATCAGGCTTTAAGGGGTTCATTTATACTTGCACATTTCATTTATATGAATACGAGAAACACAAATAACTTTTTAAATGTATAAGCTAAAAACAGCTTTTGAAGGAGACACAAATCTCTATAGCGGAGTATTTGTTGGCAAGCATTTCTGAAAGAATAATAATAAATCCATAAAGCCTGAAACGCTGCCAGAGAACAACATCACAGTTTAATGTGAAATGCAGCGATCAGCCAAACCAGTAAAACCAGTAAAACCAACAGTGATATTTCACAGGTCAGAAACCTGCAAAGTCCTCCTGTGTTTCTGTTCCCTGAACGTCCCACAAATGTTTGTTCATGTTTCTGCAGAGTTTTAAGGCAAATTCCCACTAAAAGCAACATATTCTCCCCCAGTTTGTGTCCATTAGTCTAATATGAACACTTTAGAGCCCCTTTTATAGTTCTAGGTGCTCAAGCTTTCAGGAAGCAGACCTTTGGGATCAGACTTTCCTTTCTGATATCTACAGATGCTCAGGGACCCTTGAACATCCCATAGTTCTGCTGGGGGGTTCCCATGATGCACCTCTCCTCCCTCTGCTGCTATTGGCCCAGACTGCTGGGGGCCATCAGCTGGTCTGAGCTCCCGTTGTGGTGTTTTCTGTCCAATTTTTCTCTCCCCTCTGGCTCCGGCTGGTTCAGAGAGATGGCTGCCTTACCTGGTTCTGATGGAGGTTTTTTCTCTCCACAGTCGCCTTGTGCACCTTCATGACTGGATCAAAGCGATTTGGTGCAGTTTGAAGGTTTTCTTAGCTGGGAAACCTTTTTATTGGAACAAACTGGATGTTTATGGAATATAATTGACTTTGTGTTATGATTGTATCACAATAAATTGGATCCTAATAGGCTTGAATGGACTTTAGTTTTGCCTTAGAGACGACATTTGTTGTGATAATTTAATTTAAATGAACAGAATAGGTTGTGTACCTGAACTCAACAGAAGGAAATTAAAATGGCAACCCTCCAACCTGTCATCTATATTAGGAGGCCTCTGAGGATCAGAGATCAGAGAAGATAGAAAAGACTCAGATAGGAGTGAAAACTGGTCCGGATCTCACAGTCAGTGAGGTTCTCGCTCCTTAACATCCTCAAAAACTGTATATTTAGCAGATTTTGCCCCTTTGATCTATTTTCTTTAGCAAACAGCCACATAATCAAGAACTTATTCACAGAAGCTGTGTCCTGTTCCTCTCTAAACCGTTAAATAAAAGGTGCTAAACCACTATAAAATCATTCCGGAAAAGATGGACGGCAACATCTGGGTGAAACTCTTGACCGGTTCGGTGGTCAGACACAGTCTTTGACCTTTAACAGCCTCTTTATCCCCTCCAGTAGCCCCGTTCCTCCGTTCTCCGCCCCCCCGCTCCGGTTTTGGTCGTTACGGGAAACGAGAGCGCGCCTCCATCAGGCCCGCTCCCCCCCCTCGGTGCTCAGCGCTCTATCTGGAACCGGCTCCCGATGTTTATGCATTTACTCAGATGGCTGGCGGGATTGTCAGACTAAAAGGAGGGTTTATTTTTTTTCTTCTCCCTCTTTCTTTTTTTT